CCGCTTCCGGTTTCCGCCAAGGTCAACCCGACTATCTATCCCCCCCTGCGTTTATTATACCAGGGAAAACCAGGTTTTCCTTCCTTCTCCCCTGCTGCGTGTGCTTGTGTGTGTATATAAATATATATGTATATGTATATGCGTGTGTGGGTGTGAGTGTGCGTGTACGTCATCGACAACCACTTTGGTTCGGGCCGTGTTCGTGTCCCAGCACGCGGCGGAGAGGAGATTCGCAGATTCGGGAAGAAGGGGAGAGAAAAAGGTATAAGACGGAACTGGGTGGTGGTGGTGGTGAGGAGTGAGTGTCGTAAGTGAGCGAGGAGGAAACTTATGTGTTTGGGGAATCGGTGTGTGGAATCGGGAGGAATCGGCACGTATGGGGCAGGAAGTGGCTCAAGTAGAAACTAGTGGGTGGGTGACGAGAGGAGAGGAGGAAGATTTCGAAGCGGCGTGTCAAGGTTGCACGACCTTGATTCGGTCAGCGACACGGGCAGCACGGCTACGCTTTGCAAAATCGGGCGCAGATTCGAATTTGCGTGCGGAGCACGCGTGTCTCGCTTCCCTTCGAATTTTCTTTAAAATTCTCTCCTTCTTTTTTCTTCTTCTTCTTTTTCTTCTTCTTTCTCTTCCTCGATATAGATCGATTGTTGTTCTTGTTGTTGTTATTGCTCGTTTTTCGTTTACTAGTTTTCGAAATTTTATGTATGTAATGTAATAAGTAGTTTCGAATCGAAGAGAATTTTGTCTTATTTTATATCGTCTCGTTTCTACCATTGGATCGATCCGATAACCGTTTCGATTTCCCTCGCTGGATTATTTCATCGCGCGCTCCGTCTATTACAGCGCACCACGCATACATACACGCTTTTGAAGAGAGGAACGTTTGACACGGAGAAACCGTTTAGGAAGCTCGCCTTAGGTTAATTACCGTACCAACGGGAATAACACTGCGGTGGTCGGACTCTGCGGAGACTCTGCAGACAGACGTGGGTGGTGTCCATCTTGAAATAGATCACATACCTTGCCTTGGCAGTCGTGCTGATTTTTCTTTCGCAAAATATATCATTTTTCCATCCTCTTCCTCTCGAACTTCGTCGTTCGAAACGAGTTCCGATCGTATCGAAAATATTTTTCGAAAGTTTCGAAAATTTCCGATCTTCGACAACGAGCACCAGCTTCCTGTCCGCTTCGTTCCGCTTTTGGCGGAATTCACGCGGTCAAATCGCAGCCTCTGCACTCCTGATTTATCGTTAGGCGGTGTCTTTGAAACAGGTTATGCTCATCGTCGCGGCACACGCGAGAATCCTTATCGATTTTGTATTAGAATATTGATCCCAAGAATCGAGAGTTTTCCAACTGGAAACGCGATCGTATTGCTATCCTTTCTTCTCGATTCAAATTTTCCGCTTTTCCTTCTGTTCACGTTTGAAAACGATTATCCCTAGAAAGGAAATGCAGAAGAATCGAAATGGTCGATGATTACACAGGAGAGTGGTTTTAAAACCGACGAAATCGTGGACGTTCAATCTTTGGAGGAAAACTTGGTTAAAATTTTCGAGCGTATGCTCGGTGTGCGTGTGTTTCCAACGGCGATATCGATTCGAAAGTGGCGATATAGCGAATGCACCGGAAAAGGAAGAAACATCGGTGGTGAACGAGGAAGTAATTGAATGGAAATCAGCCTCGTGTGTCCAACGTATATGTGACCGTTCTTCTTCCAAAAATTTGTGCTTTACTTTTTTTTTTTGTTGCCTGCTTTTTTTTGGTGCGATAAAATCGACCAAGTGCAAACAAGCAACAGTGAAAGAAGAAATTTACATTTTAGAATAAAAAAGTTTCACCTGATTGTGCGCCGATGAAAACAGTGACTAGTGGTGGGTGATGATCAGTGGGCCCACCGTTTCGAATGAAATGGTTTTAGGATGATGGTGGAGCGTGTCGAGGACCATCTCTTCATGTATCGACGTCCCGTTTACCGGGTCTTCCAGTACCTCGAAACCACCGAGTAAGTAAAAAAAAAAAAAAAAAAAAAGAAAAGAGAAACATGCGATTATTCAGTTTATCTCCCTATTCTAACCGATACTAAGAGACAAGTGGAAAAAACGATCGACAAAGGTAAAAAGATGAAATCGTGTTTCTCTCAACGAATCGAATCTCCATAATAACGCGTATGAGAGGGCTTTTGAAAAGTTTGGCCGGAGGGTTTTCCGGGTTGTCTTTCCTTAGACATGGTGGGTATCCAGCTGTTAGAATCTCGAGGACCTCGAAACAACCGTTTAAACAAAAGGGGTTGACTCGTTTGAAGAGCGCGCCCAATGGCAATTTGCGTGCATAAAGGTTTTGAAAGAGAGAGAGAGAGAAAGAATTTCTCTCTTTCGATTCGCGAATGAAGGAAAATGCCGCGAGGGAAGTTC